GTCGGGGCGCCGGTTTCTGTCCCAGTTTTCCTCTTCCAAGGCCGCCCTCTTCTGTTGCCCGGGAATGCAGTGGAGGATGGCCCAGGTGCTTGGGCCCTGCACCCCATGGGAGACCAGGAAAAGCACCTGGCTCCTGGCTCCTGCCATCGGATCAGCGCGGTGCGCCGGCCGCAGCGGCCATTGGAGGGTGAACCAACGGCAAAGGAAGACCTTTCTCTCTGTCTCTCTCTCTCACTGTCCACTCTGCCTGTCAAAAAAAAAAATAAAAAAATAAAAAAAAAATAAATAAAGTTTTATTGAACCACAGACTGACCACCGACGTGAATTACTGACACACACGTCCCATGTCCCTACCTTGCTTTGTCTTCCTTCTAAGACTAAGGTCAGCAAAGATTTTCTGTGAAGATCCAGAGAGCAAATATTTTCAATGCCCTCTCTTGCAACTACTCGACTTTGCTATTATCTCCTGCAAGACTTCAGTGGGAGACACTGGAAATATGAATTTGGTGCATTTTCATGTGCTAACAAGTCATTGTTCCCTGGATTTCTTTGTCAAAACCATCTCAAACAGTAAAGCCTCTCAGCTCACAGCCACAAAAATCAGAGCTGGACTGTGGGCTACACTGTGCTGACCTTGCTTTATAGATTATTTATTTATTTATTTATTTGAGAGGCAGAGCTACAGAGGGAGGGAGGAAGAGACAGAGAGAGAGGTCTTCCATCACTGGTTCACTCCCCAATTGGCTGCAACAGCTGGAGCTGGGCTGATCTGAAGCCAGGAGGCAGGAGCTTCCTCTGGGTCTCCCACGCGGGTGCAGGGGCCCAAGTACCTGGGCCATCCTCCACAGCTTCCTCAGGCCATAGTAGGGGCTGTATCAGAAGAGGAGCCGCCAGGATGCGAACTGGTGCTCATGTGGGATGCCAGCGCTGCAGGCAGTCTTATAGCCTGCGATGCCACAGAGCCAGCCCCACTGATCTTAACACTTTCCCACCACACACGTGTACTTCACGCCTCCCTGTAAGCAGCTGAGGGCAGCTGTGCCTGACTAATCTCTGTGTGTCACTCAGCCCCAGCTCTCCGTGGAGGTGGCCACATGGCCTTTTTACAGAGCCACACCCTTCAAGTAGCTAGGAGTCTCCTCCTGTTTCCACTCCACTGTCCACACCTGAAGTCCCTATGGCTCCAACCTTGTCTTATCACACTGCCCCTCCCTTTCTCCATCTCCTAACACCCTGGCTAACCACTGAATGGACACTTTAGGTACTGAGACTGACAATGATGGATTTCCTCCAAGTTGAAGACCCCCAAATCAAGCATTTTTCAGGGCCAAGGAGTCAGCTGTTGCACCTCTCTTCTGCCTGGCTTTTTGCCAGGCCTGGGGTCAGCCCTGCCGACAGTGTGACCTCATCATCATGGGCACTCTTTTTCTCTCAGCATATTGTCAGGCGAAACACTTTGATGGGAGCAGCTGTGTAGCCTAGAGGTTAAGACGCCTGTTGGGCCAGCATTATGGGGTAGTGGATTAGGCAGCTGCCTGTGATGCCAGCATCCCATATGGGCGCCAGTTCGAGTCCTGACTGTTCTACTTGTGATCCAGCTCCCGGCTAATGTGCCTGGGAAAGCAGCAGAAGACTTCCCAAGTGCTTGGGCCCCTGCACTCACATGGAGACCCATGTGAAGCTCCTGGCTCCTGGTTTCAGTCTGGCCCAGACCTGGCTGCTGCTGTCATTTGGGGAGTAAACCAGTGGATTAAAGATCTGTCTGTCCTTCTCTGTAACTCTTTCAAATAAATAATCAGCTCTTAAAAAAAAAAAAAAAAAAAACTGCCTGTGTCTCACACAGGAGAGTCCCTGGGTTTGATTTCCAGCTTCTTACCTATGCACACCCTGGGAGTCAGCAGAGATGGCTCAACTGTTACACTTGAGGAAGACCCAGAGCGAGGCCCTGGCTCCTGACTGTGGCAGACGTTTGGGGAGTGAACTAGCAGATGGAAGACCTCTCTGTCCCTCTGCCTCTCAAATAAACAATAAAATAAATTTTAAAAGAAGCATTCCAACATGCACCAACTTAACATAAACTTACTTATACATCGAACAGAAAACACACATAGGGGGCCCCAAACCCTCAAACGTCCCTAACAGCAAATCCCAGAAGAGCACCCCTCACTTCTAGAGGTGCAGGGTGGGAGAGTGGGGAGCAAGTGTTTATGTCACCTGCTCCGTGAGGAGGCCCTAGCTCGGACTGTCCTCAGCACTGCTCATCACACGGGGCCCTGGCCACAGCCTCAGTACATACTTGAAGCGGACCTTCTCTTCCATGTCCAGGGGCGGGTCCTGTGTGATGAGGCCCACCAGCTCCTCCATACACTGCTGCCTGCACAGGAAGTCCAGCAGCTTCCGGTTTTGAGCCTTACACTCCTGCAGGAGGTCATCTTCGTCCATCAGCTCCTGCAGCGTCACGTGCTCCTTGTCCAGCAGCTTGTCAACATGGGACGTGGTATTCAAGTCAAACTTCCAGAACATCGTGATGGCCACCGAGCTGCCAGCAAAGACAAAAGGGTCACTTCTCTGCTGCGAGTTCACACAGGAGAGCTCACCACCCTCACTCTGCACTCCTCCTCCACCCTCACTCTGCACTCCTCCACCCTCTACCTACCGGCCCCTCCTCTCCCCGTCTCTATGTTGATGAATTAGATGAGACAGCATGCTTGCATGATTTCATTCTGTCCAGTTTTTTTTCCAAGAGTTATTTATTTGAAAGGCAGAGCTACACAGAGAGAGGAGAGGCAGAGAGAGAGAGAAAGACAGAAAGTCTTTCATCTGCTAGTTCACTCCCCAGTTGGCCACAATAGCCAGAGCTGCGCCGATCCAAAGCCAGGAGTCGGCAGCTTCTTCCAGGTCTCCCACATGAGTACAGGGGCCCAAGGACTTGGGCCATCCTCCACTGCTTTCCAAGGCCATAGCATGGAGCTGATTTGAAGTGGAGCAGCGCCCATGTGGGATGCCAGCACTGCAGGTGGTGGTTTTACCCGCTACACCACAGCACCAGCCCCTGTTTAGATTTTTTAAAAGTTTCATTTAAAAGTTTCAGAGCATCAGAGGGGGAAAAAGAGAGAGAGAGAAAGATCTTCCATCTACTGGTTCATTTCCCAAATGATGCCAATAGCTAGGGATGGGCCAAGCCATAGCCAGGAGCCTAGAACTCTATCCTCATCTTCCACATGGGTGGCAGGGGTCCCAGTACTAGAGCCCTCAGCTGCCTTCCCAGGAGCTCTAGCAGGAAGCCGGATGGGCCAGAGTAGCTGGCATTTAAACTGGCACTCCCATACAGGATGCTGGCATGCATGGTAAACAGCGGCTTAATCCGCTGCACCACAAAGCCCACCCCCTTCTTGGATTAAGATTTGTTTTATGGTCTACCATAAAGACCAAAAAAACATTTTCCATGAAGAGCTAAAGAGTAAATATTTCTGGCTTTGTAAGACACATTGGGTCTCTGCTGCGTGTTCTTTCTCTTTTTAAAAATTCTCTAAAGAGGCCGGCGCCGCGGCTCACTAGGCTAATCCTCCGCCTAGCGGCGCCGGCACACCGGGTTCTAGTCCCGGTTGGGGCGCCGGATTCTGTCCCGGTTGCCCCTCTTCCAGGCCAGCCCTCTGCTGTGGCCAGGGAGTGCAGTGGAGGATGGCCCAGGTGCTTGGGCCCTGCACCCCATGGGAGACCAGGAAAAGCACCTGGCTCCTGGCTCCTGCCATCGGATCAGCGCGGTGCGCCGGCCGCAGCGCGCCGACCGCGGCGGCCATTGGAGGGTGAACCAACGGCAAGGGAAGACCTTTCTCTCTGTCTCTCTCTCTCACTGTCCACTCTGCCTGTCAAAAAAAAAAAAAAAAAAAAATTCTCTAAAGACATAAAAACCAGGGCCAGTGCTGTGGCACAGAGGGTTAAAGCCCCAACCTGCAGCGCCGACATCCTATATGGCACTGGTTCAAGTCCTGGCTGCTCCTCTTCTGATCCAGCTCTCTGCTATGGCTTGGGAAAGCAGAAGATGGCCCAAGTCTTTGGGTCCCTGCACCCACATGGGAGACCTGGAAGAAGCTCCTGGCTTTGGATCAGCTCAGCTCTGACTGTTGCAGTCATTTGGGGAGTGAACCAGCAGATGGAAGACCTCTCTCTCTCTCTCTCTCTCTCTCTCTCTCTCTCTCTTCCTCTCCTCTCTCTGTGTAACTCTGTAAAAAAATAAAATAATTCTTTAAAAAAAGACATAAAAACCATTCTTAACAAGTAAGCTGTATAAAGCCAGGCAGTGGCCTGGATCTGGCCTCGAGGCTGTACCTTGCACTGTGCTGTGGTCTCTCTTGGTGAAGGCTCCATATGTACTGGAAAATGAGTTTCATTCTGCTGCTGCTGGTTGGCCAGGGAAGGCATGTTGGTTGACAGTTTTCAGGTCTTTCATATCCTGATTTTCTGTCTACCTTATATATCAATTAATAAGAGAAGGCTATATTTTCAACTAACTAACTATAATTTATCTACTTATTTTGATTCTATCTTGCTTCACATGTGTCTTGACTTCTGTTATGTGGATAAGTATTTAGGATCATGATGTCTGCTTCATGGACTGACTGGCTGTCTGGTTATTTTGACGTCTCCCTCACCACTATGGCAGCACACCTCATCTTGAAATCTGTGTTGTCTTGATATTATTTCTTTCTTATATATTTATTTATTTGAAAGGCAGAGTAACAGAGAGAGGGAGAGACAGAGAAAGAGATCTTCCAACCACTGATTCATTCCCCCAAATGGCAGTAATAGCTGGGGCTGGGTCAAAGCCAAAGGCAGGAGCCTGCAATTCTATCTGGGTCTCCCATGTGGGTGGTAGGGACCCAGGTACTTGGGCTATCACCTGCTTCTTTCCTAGGCACATAAATAGGGACTTGGGTTGGAAGCGGAGCAGCAGGGACTCAAACTGGCACTCAGATATGGGATGCTGGCATCTCAAATGGCAGCTTAACCCACTGTATCACAACACCAGCCCCCAATAACCACTATTCTTGTGGCTCATGTTTGGCACATATTTAATATCCTTTTATTTCAATCTATATATCACTATATTTAAAATGTTTCTCTTCTAAACAGCACATGATTGGCCTCTGTTTTGCATTCAGTTGGTCATTCTCTGCCTTTTAATTGGGATATATAAAATATTTATATTTAATGTAATGATATACTTCAAAAAGTTATGGAAAATAGAATTAGAAGATACCTACTTTGATACAAAAAAATTGAAATCCATGCCTAGGAGAGGTCTTTAAAATCTGTATTATGGAAAACTGCATGCTTTCAAAAGCTTTTTGCCCAAAATAAACTTACTGTTTAATTCTATTTTTCCATAATCTTTTTTTCTTTTTTTTTTTTTTTTGACAGGCAGAGTGGACAGTGAGAGAGAGAGAGACAGAGAGAAAGGTCTTCCTTTGCCGTTGGTTCACCCTCCAATGGCCGCCGCGGCGGGCGCGCTGTGGCCGGCGCACCGCGCTGATCCGATGGCAGGAGCCAGGAGCCAGGTGCTTTTCCTGGTCTCCCATGGGGTGCAGGGCCCAAGCACCTGGGCCATCCTCCACTGCACTCCCTGGCCACAGCAGAGGGCTGGCCTGGAAGAGGGGCAACCGGGACAGATTCCGGCGCCCCAACCGGGACTAGAACCCGGTGTGCCGGCGCCGCTAGGCGGAGGATTAGCCTATTGAGCCGCGGCGCCGGCCAATTTTTCCATAATCTTTTGAATTACCCTCAAATAGTCATGTTTCAGTAATGTGAAAAATTAAACACCCTTTTATGATAAATGCACTTCAATTAGTTAACAGAGGGACCGTCCTGAATTTGATAAAGAGCATTTACTTAAAAACCCACAGTTGTCAGTATATCTAATGGTAAAAAGACTGAATGCTTTTCTCCTCAGATTGGAACAAGGGACTCTAGCCACTCTACCCAAGATTATAATGGAGGAACACACACATATACACACATACATACAAACACACACACACACAAAGAAAGAAGTAAAACTGTCTTTACTCAGGTAACATGACTGTAGAAACAGGAATGCCAAAAATATCTGTAAGGAAAAAAAGCTGGATATGTGTTTGGTGCAGCAGTTCAGTGGCTGCCTGAGACAGCCACATCCCATCTCAGAGTGCTCCGATTCCAGCTTCCCACCGACGTGCACCCCAGGAGGTAGATGACAGCTCATGTCATTGAGTCCCTGACACCCATGTGGGAAACCTGAATTGAATTCTTGGCTCCAGGCTTTGGCCTGGGCTAGGCTCAGCTGTTGTGGGAATTGGAGAGTAAACCAGTAGATGGAAGATTTCTCTTTGTCCATCTGTCCCCTGTCTCTGTCTCATTTTTTTTTTTTTTTTAAATCTGTACCTTTTTTAAAAGATGTATGTATTCATTTGAAGGAGTTACAGAGAGGCTGGCGCCACAGCTCACTTGGCTAATCCTCCGCCTGTGGCACCGGCACCCCGGGTTCTAGTCCCAGTTGGGGTGCCAGATTCTGTTCTGGCTGCTCCTCTTCCAGTCCAGCTCTCTGCTGTGGCCCGGGAAGGCAGTGGAGGATGGCCCAAGTGCTTGGGCCCTGCATTCGCATGGGAGACCAGGCGGAAGCACCTGGCTCCTGGCTTTGGATCAGCCCGGCGCACCAGCCGTAGCGGCCATTTGGGGAGTGAACCAACGGAAGGAAGACCTTTCTGTCTGTTTCTCTCTGTCTCACTGTCTAACTCTGCCTGTAAAAAAAAAAAAAAAAAAGTTACAGAGAGAAGAACAGAGAAGGAGAGAAGGGTTGGGCAGAGAGAGAGAGAGAGAGAGAATCTTTCATCTGCTGGTTCACTCCCTAGATGGCCACAATGGCCAGCACTGGGCCAGGGGGAAGCCAGGAGGGAAGCCAGGAGCTTCATCTGGGTCTCCCACGTGGGTATCAGGGGCCCAAACACTCAGGCCATCTTTCCATATTTTTCCCAGGCCATTAGCAGGGAACTGGATCAGCAATGGAGCAGCCAGAACACAAACTGGCATTCATATAGGATGCCAACGTCATAGGTAGTGGCTTTACCTGCTATACCACAATGCCAGCCCCCATCCTTATCTTTTTCAAGAAAAAAAAAAGCTACTAGAATTAATTAGAGTGAATTTCAGAGCTCACCCAACACAAGGTCAATACACAAAATACAGGGGCAGGCATCGTGGTGCAGCAGGTTAAGTTGCCAGCTGAGGCAAGCGCATCCCACACCCAAGTGCCCAGCACCAAATCCTGCCACTGCATCAGATTCAGTTTTCTGCTAATGCACTTGGCAGGCAACAGATGATGGCCCAACTACTTAGGTTCCTGCCACCCTTGAGGGAGACCCAGATGGCATTCCGGGCTCAAGGCTTCCATCTGGCCAGTCCTGACTGCTGCAGCCATTTGGGGAGTGAACCAATGGATAGGAGATCTCTCTGTCTTGTCCTCTTTCTCTGTCACTCTGCCTTTCAAATAAATAAATAAATCTAAGGAAAGGAAATGAAAGGGGAGGGGAGGAGAGGGGAGGAAGGGAAGGGAAAGGAAGAGATGGGGAGGGGAGAGGAGGGAAAAGTGATCAACAAATTAGAAAGCAGGCATTTGGCACAATGGTTAAGACATCACTAGGGCCGGCGCCGCGGCTCACTAGGCTAATCCTCAGCCTTGCAGTGCCGGCACACCGGGTTCTAGTCCCGGTCGGGGTGCCGGATTCTGTCCCAGTTGCCCCTCTTCCAGGCCAGCTCTCTGCTGTGGCCCAGGGAGTGCAGTGGAGGATGGCCCAAGTGCTTGGGCCCTGCACCCCATGGGAGACCAGGATAAGTACCTGGCTCCTGCCTTCGGATCCGCGCGATGCGCCGGCCGCAGTGCGCCAGCCGCGGCAGCCATTGGAGGGTGAACCAACGGCAAAAGGAAGACCTTTCTCTTTGTCTCTCTCTCTCACTGTCCACTCGCCCTGTCCGAAAAAAAAAAAAAAAAAAAAAAAAAAAAAGACATCACTAGGGACCCAGTATCCTGTATGTGCGCACCTACATCTGAGTCCTGACTCCAGCTTCCTGTTAATATTAAGACATCACTTGGGACCCCAGTATCCTGTATCTGCGTACCTGTGTCTGAGTCCTGACTCCAGCTTCCTGTTAATATGCACACAGGGAGGCAGAGACGGTGGCTCAAGTCGTTGGGTGCTTGTCACCCATATGTGAGACTGACACTGGGCTCTGGGCTGCTGGCTCCAGCCTGACACAGCCCTGATCCTGAGTTGCTGACTCCTGACTTTGGCCTGTTTCGGTCTAGGCTTTTGCAGGAGGGCGTCTGGGGAGTAAACCACAAGATGAGAGATCTTTCTGTGTGTGTGTCCTTCAAGTAAAATGAAAATAAATATTTTTAGAAAAAATGTTTTTGTAATAAGTATATTGTTGGATGACTTTTTTAATCTAAGAAATATCTTTCACTGATTAACTTATTGCATATGAAGTTCTGTTTTTATCTCCCCTTTCCTGTTTTCCATGGATTTATTATGCTGCTTTTGTTTTTATTTGCTTCACTACTGATTCAAAAGATAAATTCTGCTTATGATTTTATGGTAACCTCTCTAAACTTGAGACCCTTTGTCATGGGTGATTTTCTTTCTGACTTTTTAATAAATATAACAATTGTAACAAATATAATAATATCTTCGCTCTCCTCAAAATTAGACAGCTTTCTCTTCTCTTTTCTGTCTTATCAACATACAGTTCTAGTAATATGAATGGCATGTCCAAAAAAGGATGCTCATTTGGTTTATAATAAAATGCTTAATGACATGCAAGAGAATTTTTACTTTAGCTCTATTTTATTAAAAATTTAAATTAGTGGCTTAAGGACACATTGAGATTTATCATGCAAGAAAAAGGCATCTTGTCGGTGCCGTGGCTCACTAGGCTAATCCTCCGCCTAGCGGCGCCGGCACACCGGGTTCTAGTCCCGGTCGGGGCGCCAGATTCTGTCCCGGTTGCCCCTCTTCCAGGCCAGCTCTCTGCTGTGGCCAGAGAGTGGAGTGGAGGATGGCCCAGGTGCTTGGGCCCTGCACCCCATGGGAGACCAGGAAAAGCACCTGGCTCCTGGCATCGGATCAGCGCGGTGCGCCGGCCGCAGCGCGCCGGCCTCGGCGGCCATTGGAGGGTGAACCAACGGCAAAGGAAGACCTTTCTCTCTGTCTCTCTCTCTCACTGTCCACTCTGCCTGTCAAAAAAAAAAAAAAAGAAAAAAGAAAAAAAAAGAAAAAGGCATCTTAACTGCTGAGCCAAAAGCCTGCCCCAACACAGTAGCTTTTGACAAAGAGACAAATATAAAGGCTGGAAAACATACACCAGGT